ACAGCAGGACCAGGAACAGGATGGGCACTTCCATCTAAGGCAGGAGAGAGGGTTTTCCTCCTTTCACTTTCTCTTACAGGACTCCAGGATGGAAACGAGATCTTTGGGAGCACGTTCTGGCCTTCAGGTGCTGTTTTAACACTAGTCACGGGCAGCAGCAAAATCCCAGCATTAACCCTGGGAGCGAGTAGCAGGAGCATTGCTCAGGGAAAAGCAGGAGATTCCCTTCCCGAGATGAGGAATGCCAACTGTGTTTCACATAAAGCCACCGCCACGGGCAGCCCAGGCTCCCTCCCTGGCCGCTCCAGCTCGGGCTGGATGGATTGCACCTTCCCAAGGCAGAGCTGCTGAGCCAGCAGGTTTTCCCATCCCGGCTTTTCCCGGCCCAGGGTCTCGCTCTGATGAGGCGAGGTGGTTTCACACCAGCCAGGCACCTCGCTGCGTGCCTGCAGCGGGAGCAGAGAGCCTCATCTTTCAGATGGGCATTTCTGCCTCATCACCAGCCTCCCTGAACCACCTCCCTCCGTGGCACCCGTGCCCCAGCCTCAGGTGGCCACGTCCCCCCACCATCTGTGCCGCAGGACGCCGGCTGCTCGCAGCAGCTTATTAATTTTCCGGGTAGCACCCAGGATGTGCCAGACACTCTGCAAACATACGGTCCCTGCTCGAGCCTGGAGGGGTCTGTGATCTAATTTGCAAGGTACAGATTGTGCTGCGCGGGGCAGGGCAGGCGGGAGGCACCGGGCGGGCACCAGCTGGGCAGGCAGAGGCTGCTCCACTACTTCCCTGGGCTCAGAGATGCTCTGGAACACGGGGCAACCCCACGGCGTGAAAGTTCACCCTCCCCTGCCCCAAGAAGAGCTCTCCCACCAACGCATCGCTGAGCATCACCCCAGGCCCTGCTTAGCACCAAACCACAGGCAGGAACCGCAGGATTTTATTTATTTTTTTTTTTTTAAGGATGGGCAGAAAAGGGGATGGGGAAGAGGAGAGGAAAAGGCAATGTAGCAGCATGTCCTTGCAAGTGAGATTCCTGCCCCGGGAAAGGGTTAAGCCATCCGGCACGTTTTCTGTCAAGCAGGCGGATGGTATTTCAGGTTGCTCAGTACTTTAGCGTCTCTCAGCTTAGGGGGGAGGAAAAAAAAAAAAAAAAAAAAAAAACATAGCCAGAGGCCAGATTCGTAGTTAAACAATAGCTCGAGCTGGAGGAACTCAAGATGCTGCTAAAGTAAACAGGGAGCCCTGGGTAGAGGCAGCGAGCGGCTCCGAGCACCTTCCCGGCAGCCAGAGAGAAAGTTGGGAACCAGCTCCCGCATCACGGCAAGGAGGGAAATGCCCATAAAAAGCAACCTTGAGAGATTCCCCCTCGACACAGCTGCGGGAGCGACTCCGCAGTCTAAAAATACCTAATTACACCCCAAAGCCCCCGACGCACACAATCAGAACCACATGCGCCCTAAACCCAGCCGGCGCCCGTCGGGAAGAGGAGGGGGGGGGCCCGAAAGTTCCCCCCAGCACCCCCTTACCTTGCAGGAGTAGGTGTGGTGGACCGGGTCCACGTTCATGATCTCCTCCACCGTGCCCGTCAGCACCACGTTGGCCTCCTCCTCCCTCCGCTCCAGCTCCCGCTCGGGGCAGGTCGCCAGTCCCAGTCCTAATCCCAGTCCCAGCAGCGCCAGCAGCGCCCGAGCACCGTCCGCCCGCTGTGCCCGCATGGCCCCGGTCCGGTCCCGGTCCCGGTCCCCCGACGGCGCGGGCAGACAAAGCGGCCCCGCTCGCAGGCGCAGGGAGAAGGGCTACTTTTGTTCGAGGAGGTGAAAAGGAGGAAAGAAAGAGAGGAGGGAGCGAGGGAGGGAGGCAGCGAGGGGAGGGGAGAGCAGGGGAGGGGAGAAGGAGGAAAATCCCAGGAGGAGGAGGAGGAGGAGGAGGAGGAGGAGATATCTCTCTCCGTGAAGCCGCGGCCGGCGAGCAGCGCTCGGTCCTCTCTGCCTTGCCCCTGTAAGAAAGCCCGCAGATTTGCATGCAATCTGAATTGCTGATAAGGGAGGGAGCGGGGGTAGGGGAGGAGAGGAGGGAGGGAGAGAGAAAAAGGGAGGAAGGCAGCGCGTCCGCCCGCCCTGCTGCCAGCTCTTACTGCGGAGCTGCCGCGAACGCCACCCCCAGGAAAGGGAGCTCGCCTCGGGTTAATGGATAATCAGCGCCGCAACGTGAGGAGACTTTTAAAGGTGTAGGGACCGCAGCCGGCCCCGCTGCACCCCCCCAGGATGAGCGACAGCTGGAGCCCAGCCCTGTCCCGGGGTCCCCTCCCCCGCGGGGGTCGGACCCCGGCGTTTCCATCCCCCTGTTTAGCCCCTGGGGGCTGCCTCCAGGGATGCTCCTGGTTTTCCCGTGGGGAAACTGAGGCAGGGTTGGTCCTGTTCCCTAGAGATGCCACGAGTGCTCCATCCTGGGGTAAACCGAGTCACCCGCGCCAGGGCCACCACCCTGGGGGGGAAATGGTGCTCGGGCAGAGGGACCACAAAGCCACCCACCCTCCCTCGGAATGATAGGATCACGGAATGGTTTGGCTTGGAAGGGACCTTAAGATCATCCAGTCCCACCCGCTGCCACGGGCAGGGACACCTCCCGCTATCCCGGGTTGCTCCAAGCCCCGTCCAACCTGGCCTTGGACACTCCCAGGGAATGGCGTGGGGGGGCTGCCCCTGGAGCACCGTGACCTCCTGCCCCGGCTCTTCCTCGGGGGAATTGGACGGCAATTTTTCCAGATGTCACGTGCAATTACTACTGATATAAAATGAAAAGTTAAGTGGCATCAGGGGAGGGATATTGTTTCTCCCCTCCATAAATTAGCCAGCCCCCAGAGGCGGTTTACAAGGCTGTTTTACTTGATGGCCCTAAACAAGTCCCTGTTTGTGACCCAGGGGTGAATTACCAATCCCAGGGTGAAGTTTAACCGTGCCAGTGGAGGGATGACACATGATGTGCCCCTGTGTCCTTCCCTGATGGACATGGTTCAGCACACAGCAGCATCCCGCCCTCAGAGCCTCTGCATCCCCCATCCTGCTCACGCCCTAAATTCTGAGCCAGTCTGTTTGTGCTGTTTGCCCCCTGCAATTGTGGATGTGCCAGTCCTTTTTGTCTCCCCTGGCACGGCAACAGAATTCAGCTACAAGATCGGAATAAATGAATCTGAGTGTTCAAAATGCTGTCCAAGCCTACCTTCTACCCTGTAGAGGATGAAACACCAGAGCTCACATAAATCTGGAGGTATCCCAGCTGCTGGGTGGTTTAGAAAGAAGGCAAACTGTACATTTTCTGTCTTAAACCAGGCACTTGGCATTCCCACAGTGACTTTGTCTCAATGCTGGGGCTGTTCCTGTAAACCCCACGCCCTTTCCCAGCTCTCGTTCCACTCAAAGCTTCCATTTCTGCCCCATAAATCTGGGCTTCCCAAGCCCAGCACTGAAAGAAGGCTGCCTATTCCAGAGCATGAATCATTTTATCACCTCACTGAGGGCCTCAGAGAGACGGCTTTCAGAATGAAAGTGGCTCACAGAGTACTCAGGTCTGCAGGAAACCTGCCTTCACCTGGCAGGGTGTAACTCTCCCAAAGCTGCCTGTAAAACCCCAGGGACCATCCTGTGCCACAGGGCAAAGTGACCTGAAGCAGGATCCCATTTCCTTCCCAAAAAACTTCCCCAAACAGCGTGATTTCTGGACGAGCTGCAGTGGGAAGACTCCATCCATCACAGGCCAAGCCCAGGCCCTGCAATCATCCCTGTGGAGCTTCCCCACAAAGGGCTCCATTACTACATCGCTACTATAAACTCCAGCAATCAGCTAAAAATATTCCACGGTGCCTGGCAGATTATTTTTTTTTTTCCCCTACTTTAATTATTAATTTTTATTGTATTCCTCGAGCACTGCTCAACTGTAAATCGCAGGAACAACCTCAGCTCAGGGTGGAAGAAATCAGCTGTGACACCACTCTGCTCTAGCACTTTGAGGAGAGGAGAAGGGGAAGAATTATTTACACTGTGTTTGTACTATTTTCTGTTTGTTAGTTCTCTCCTTTTAGCCCCACCCCACCATCTGCTTTCAAAGCTGTGAAGAGAAAAATGGATTTCACAGGCTTTTTTTTTTTTTTTTTTTTTTTTTTTTTTTTTTTTTTTTTTTTTTTTTTTTTTTTTTTTTTTTGATGTATTTGCCCCAATCTGGTGGGTTCTTTGAGTGGATTTACTCAGCCTCGTAGGCTTTTTGGGGGAGGTGAGACACGAGCATCTCGGGATCTCACTGTCCTCCTGCGGGTTTAATGGAGTTCAAAACAGAGAAGGGATTTCCAAAGGAAAGCAGGAGAGGGAGAGCAGCCACACCGAGCACCTTTTTAGGGACAACCCACACGGTATTGCTGAAACCTCACCCTGATAAGAGGAGAAACAGGATAAGAAACTGATGGCTCTGTGGGAAAACCGGGACAAACTCTTTGGCAAATCAGGGCACAAAATAAATAAACATTTTAGCTGGCAAACATACCCAGAACCCCGGGCTTTGTGCCGGCTCCTCACGGCAAACCTGGGCCTCGCAAAAACACCCCCCCCCCCCCCCCCCGAACTTGCTTTGGGGCAGCTCAAAAAAAACATCCAAACCTCTCGCAAAACCTACGAGGGATCACTCATTGATTGCTTTCTCCTGCTGCAGTGTGGAGTTTGGATGGAAATTCCAATTTATTTTTTTTTTTAAGGGGAAGGAGGGAGAGGGCTAAAATTTGGGGAGAGCAGAGGGGATTTGATCACCCCTCTCGGGCGGCTCCTGCGCCAGCGGTTTCACAAAGCCCCTCTGGGGCTGTGGGACCCTGCCTGGCACTGCTCAGCTGAGCCACCCTGACCTTCAGACACCTGCTCGTCTTGATGTCCAGGGGTATTTCTTCCACATCTGAACTCAACTACCTGGGCCAGGCTTCCCCTCATCAGGGCTCTCCCCTCCAGCAGTAGCAGCTGTCACGTTTTCGGCAGGACTGCGATTTTATTTTATTTTCTTTCTCACATCCTTTGAAGGTTTGTCATTTGTTTTTTTTTTCTAATTTGAACAGCTCATGGCACGGGCAGGTGAACTCCTTTCAGGCTGGGCTGAGCATCTCTGAGAAGGTCCCTCATTTGCTGTGAGTTGTTGCCTCTCCAGAACGGCCGCACAGACGCTCCTGCTGCGCTCAGCAGTTTCACCGCAGCATCTCTCCACCGTTTGACCCCGAAGCACTTCCCTTTCATGGTTATCTGTTATCACAGCTCTCAGCCAGGGCTGTCACAAGGGTCATACCTTCATCCTCCAGCTTCTCCTGGTGGGGGTTTGTTGTCTGGGGGCACTTGCTGAGAGCAGATCCTTCAAGGCGTTATGGGGCTGGGTATCTGAGAGTCGTGGTATCAGCGACCGTGGAGTGAATCCCTCCGTCTTTTAGGAGTTGTAACTTGAGGAAAATGGGATGTAGGTTGCCCAGAGAAGCTGTGTGTGCACTAGAAGTGTCCAAGGCCAGGTTGGATGGGGCCTGGAGCAGCCTGGTCGAGTGGAACATATCCCTGCCCATGGTGCGGGGTGGGACTGGATGAGCTTTAAGGTCCCTCCCAATCCCAAACCATTCCTTATTCCGGGATTCCGGGCCCAGCACAGGGCCCAGAGCAGAGCCCATCCCTCACACTGCTGTGGCACACACGTCAGAGCAGGAAACCCACAGGATTTGAAGCCAAGCCTTTAAAGCAAATAAAAGCCCTGGGTGAATACCCTGGCAAAGCACAACCCGGCCCCGCCGCCGGTCGGAAATGCTTCCCCAGGGGCACTGGAGAAACGTTGTCCCCATTCCTGCTGGGGCTGGCCCCTGGTTCCCTCACTGGTCGTCTCTACACCCCACTGGCTGGTTTTTCTGCTCCATCTCTGATAAGCTCCAAGACATGTTTTAATGTGCTTTTCTCTCCCCCCCCCCCCCTTCCTTTCTCTTTTAAGTTAATCCCTCTCGGTGGTTTCTGACATTGTCAAATGTCTTTTGTGTACTGTTAGAAAACCTCTTGATGTAGCTACAGAGCAGCTGCTAACAAGTTGCCCCTGGGATCCTCCATCTATGAGGCTGTCTGCCTGTATAATGACTTTCAAATAAGTAAATCTATTAATGAGATCTCAGTGGGAGCAGCTCCCTGTCAGAGGACCCACACGGAGGGGCTTCCTCCCACTGCAGCGGCAGCTCCACTTTGGCCACCATGGGCTCTGCAGCATCCAAGGGGAGCCACAGAGAGCTCCTGTCCCCCTGCAGGGGTGGGGGACAGGACCACTTGGATCAGTGGCTGGTGTGTGGCAGAGACCTCCAAAGCCTTTTCCCCTTGGTTAAGTTGGGAAAACAAGGAGCACGTGGGGATCTGTCACATCCTCGGGACACAAATTCAAGAAGGGAGTCTCTTCCTCCCCACATCAGCCTGAAACATTTAAAGCCTATCCTCTGAAATGTCAGTTTTGCCCCAAGATTTAGGAGCTACTGGCATCCAGGCCCTTCTCCACGGCGTGATCCTAAAACCTTCAGCTTTAAAAGCGGGAAATTATGCTGAATTTGCACATCTTCACGTGACTCCAGGAGTCTGGGCATAAAAAACCCCAAACCACTGAGTGTTATGTGCTGTAATAACAGGGTAGGAGGAATTCAGCCTGGTCTGTGATGGCATGAGATGAAGGGCTGCAGTCAGGCAGGGAAGAGGGTTTTTTTGTGTCCCTATGCAGCAGATCAGAGCAACACACACTCTTACAGGTGCCATCTCACTGTGTTTCAGTGGCCATGAACCTCCAGCATGGTTTAGGACTTAACCTAGCAACCTCTCAGCTTGGGGACAAAAGCATCCAGTGAACCACAATGACTCTTTTAATCAAAAAAAAAAAAAAAAAAAAGAAAAAAAAAGGAAAAAAAAGGGAAAAAAAAAAAGGAAAGAAGCAGAAAGAAAATTCAGCGTGAACTTCGGGGCAAATGATCCTCCATTATCAAATCCCATCTGAAAAAGTGCATGGGGCTAATTGAATTACACTTGCTGGATTTCTATGTGGCCATGAAGGCTTCTTAATGTGGATTGATAGCATAAATCTGTTCTCCATTGAGG